CAATAGATGAGGTGACGGTTTTGTCCGCCATTTTGGACCGGTAGGCATAGTGTCGCAAAATAACAAGGAATGACCGGGAAATCGATGTCAAATAATTCTCGCTGAATTCAAATTCAGAAAGAATTATCAATTGCAAACGTTAGATACCTCAAAAAGGAGTTAACGGGCAAAATTTGAAAGGCGTACTTGATCTAGAGAGCGAGTAAACTCATTTTTAGTTCTCCATACATTTCTTTGTATTTTTCACGCGCGTCACGCACTGATGACCCCGGAAATGATAACGAAATGTATTGAAATTACAAAGAAATGTATGGAGAACTAAAAATGAGTTTACTCGCTCTCTAGATCAAGTACGCCTTTCAAATTTTGCCCGTTAACTCCTTTTTGAGGTATCTAACGTTTGCAATTGATAATTCTTTCTGAATTTGAATTCAGCGAGAATTATTTGACATCGATTTCCCGGTCATTCCTTGTTATTTTGCGACACTATGCCTACCGGTCCAAAATGGCGGACAAAACCGTCACCTCATCTATTACATACAAGTTGGTTATAAGCGATATGATTCCTAAACATACTTTAATTTTAGCTCGTATATCTTCATTTACTAATTACTATTCGCACAACTACGTTTTTAAATGCTTATGTAGTGTTGTTATTACGTTTTTATAGGTAGTGAAGGAAAAGCCACTATGGATCTTATTCCCAATAATGACGTTTGGTGAAATCGAAATGTACTCAAAGAAAATGTCTAACTGCAAACATACTAAAAAGGCATACAAATATTTTGCAGAGCCAGGATACTTACATGATATCAAAGGTAATAATGTACACAAAAGTTATTTTTTGTTTGCTATTAAAAATGAACTATTAGAGTTTTTCTGTATCCTCTGTTTCACAGAGACCTCTGTGTTATGGTGACTGAGACATTTGCATAGTTTGAAAGTATGTAATAATCCGACCGTATAATAAAGTTATTTGTTCGCTTGTCAGGCTAGCATTAAGTTGACAACATGCCACCGCCTGCGCCTACTTTTATTTTTTCATTTTTGCTTTTCTGTTTGAATACATGAATATAGTCCGACGAGTTGTTCCTCCTCCACCGCCAATGGATATAATAACATCAGTTATTCAAAGGATTCTCTATCTCTTAGAGCAATTCAACGTACCAGTGCATACCATTTTACGTCGTAATTTCGATGGAAACGCTTGGAGAATTCTTGATCGAAGTGTCTGGAATACTATGGTAGTTAATCCTGGAAATTTTTGGCTTCTAACGGGGGAGACTCCCGAGAGCTTGTTCCAAGTAATAGCACGAGTTGGACCTACATTGAGTCACGTGTTCGAAATCCTTTGAATCCACGGAGACGTGTGAGGCGTACAAGACCATACGCGCTTACTGTACATGACAGAGTGTTACTTTGCTTCCTATGGCTGAGAAATTATCCAACATTTACATTACTTAGCCAGCAGTTTGACATTTCTGTTAGCAATGTCAACGACATTATACACACCGTCATCCCTATTTTGTACGAGCACTATTCTGATCGATATGTAGAATGGATTGACGAACAATCTTGGGAAAGGCAACGGGATGAATTTCGAAGAGTTCCCAAATGCTGTAGGGCAGATTGATGCTTTTGCTGTCCAGATAAACAGGCCGCAGAACCGTGACGTTCAACGCCTTTATTACAGAAGAGACCGAGGATATCACTTTGTAAATTTTCATGTTGTTGTCGACAATGACGGGTTCTTCCGGTTTGTTCGTGGCGGTTTTCTCGGGCATGCTACTGATGCCGATTCTTTTAGACGGTTGCCACCCATGGGCCATCAACGACAGCTCTCCCTTCCGCAAGACGCATACCTCTTAGCAGATGGTGGATATCCAGCTGCACAGCCTCTTTTGACGCCTTTCAGACGTCACAAAGGAAGGCGCTTGAACCACGCCCCCTACAGAGCAAACGTAGAGCTTGGGAGAGCAAGAGTACGCGTAGAAAATAGAATTGGAGATGTGCGCATTTATCGAAGTGTCCCCGGGAGAGGAGGCAGATATAGAGGACAAAGGCAGTTTGTCAGTGTCGTTACGTACTTAGTTGTCGCTCTAACAAACAGAAGACGCCTACCGATTCGATACATAAGAAGCGGATTTATAATTTTGTAAGCAAGATGTAGAGTGAAACACTTAAAGCATGACTTTGAAATAATTTCAAAAAAGAAAGAACAAATGAAAAAAGACGCACAAATTTGATAAATGTTTTAACAAGACGTAACAGTTCCATCAGTCGAAAATAATTGCGTTATCTTTTACGTTTTTTTTAACTACAAGTTACCGTACTCGTCCATGACTATTAATAACAGCGCTGAAAAAGGTCATGTTTACAAAATGATATACAAGTATACAGGCGATCTTGAATATTGAATATGTAGAGCCCAACTGAAATAGACCTGTGCAATTTATTTCAGAAATGACTGTTCCAAGTGGAAAAGCCGAGATCGGCTGCAGCTTAAATATGATATATAATGTGCTATGGTTCTTATCATACAATAAGCTAAATAATTATTTAAATTTGATAATTTGAAAACTCCAGCGAAGGGGAGCTGTAACCTTAAGGATATTTGCAAAATGTATTTAGTGGTGTGTTTTAAAGACAGGCTTATTAATAGGGGAAACCAGCCCTATTATCCAGTCCCTGCATCTGCATTAATGTCTCCACGGAATTTATCTAAGTCTATTTGTGGGTGATTATATCATAATTGAAAATTACAATTAAAAAGATATATGTTTAAAAAATGACTCACCTGTTGTAGTTATAGTCATTGGGGGAGATGTTGTGTGTGGTGGCACTAGAAAATCACAATGCAAAAGACTGTTAGCATAATAGACATTCAGGTCCATTAGGCTCTATCCATACTGGGGAGGTTCATTAGTCAGTTGGATGAAAATCTATCCAACTGACTGTGCTAAAAGATGGCACAAAAGTATTCCTAAACATTTCCCTTTTTATTCGCGGAAAAAGGGTATTTATTGCATTAATATATGTGACATCATGAAGATTGTGAATTGATATCATATCCGTTGATCCTAGATTGTCTCTGCAGAAGATGTTTTTTGCTTCTTTTATCAGTAAAATGTTGGTTTTGCTCGACTTAGAAGCCTAGAGAAGTTTACTCCATATTTCTATGATGAAGACATAGTAACATAAATATTTGCTTGAAGAGTATCTTGTATTATCAATACTATGGAAATTCCCTTACAAAGTTGGAAAAACAACAAAAATCAATTGGTGGTCACCTTTAAGAAAACTTGAGGATATTTATAAGTGCAAAATATGTTTTGACTGGCTAATAGCTTGAGAAGATTGAGGCAATGTAATATTAGTGTTCTTACGTCGTAACAAATTGTGAAAGAACATCGTTAAAGGTTTACTACATAATTTTGTTTAACTTCAATTTCTGTGTGTATTTCTCAGTACAAGGGGAAAAAACATGAAATACATGTATATTTTGAAACATGTATAACCCTGGCTATATGACCTTGCCTATATGAAGTGGTGGTCGTATTTTCAAAGTAATTGACCAATTTTTGGAGTATCAATTTTTATATCGAATATTTTTTTGCTTTATATCGTATATTTTTGTGCGTATCACTACTCTAAATTACCTTTCGTAGGACTGACAAATGACTTCTTTACAGCTTGTCCTGCAAATGTGCCTGTTTCAATTGCTTTCTCCAAGGGCTCTCTTGGGTTACKRACTGTAGATGGATAAGTAATCTGTACATTGGCAACAACGCTGCCACTCCTAGTAAAACATTACAGGTCAATGTACAATGTATGTATAAAGAAAGATATAGTGACAGCTGTAAACACTTTAGTTTGTTGACAAGATGTGACATGTGTTTCTTATGATAAGAGTTCACTTGTCTTTTAGAATAGCAAAGTATCTCAATAATGATAAGCATTTTTCAAAATTGACAGATAACTTAATTCATATTTTTTCCTTGCTGCATAGACATTCAATTCAGCCATTTGGAAAACGATCTGGAAATTGTCATAGGTTTTATCTGCAATTAGCTGCATTCTCAGAAACTCAGGAGCTGTTGGTTTGGAGCCAGGGAGTGTTTGGACAAGTACTAGTTGATTTACTTATAACATAACAAATACAATTGACCATTCTGAAATTAAAAAAGGGACTGGTGCCTAGCACTAAACAAAACAAAAAATACAAAGAATATAACCGCATATTCTCTCTCATTTTTGCAGATTTGAAAATTTTGCCATTTAGTGAGATTTTAACCAAATAGACTCAAATTTGGTACAGTACACTAATTGCACTCATGGCCTCTTGCACAATAGGGTTTAGAGTTTCTTAAGGGGACCATGTTCATGCTTATTCCCAGTCTCTTTTTCAATTTCGGGATGGCCAATTAGTGGAAATACCCAAAAGGCTTTAACCATCAACCAGCCMATGAAGCAACATACCTGAAGTCTAGTACTCTACAAGAATATATTGGCTTGTTTGGAGAATAGTAAGCATAGACACGTAAACACTGAAAAAATTTAAAATAGTTATGTATTGCTGACAATCATCGACGTATAAATGTTTTTGAAAAGAACATGCGACATTAACTCAACATGTACAATGGTACAAGCTGCTTGTGGAGATCGACTATGGCGACGATTGAAAAAAGAAATTGATCTATTTTCGAAAGAACTGAGACATTCAACCAACGAAAAACATAAAAAAATCAATAATAAATGCATGGAAGGACAAGAGAAGAAAAGAACAAGATGGAAGAAAAACCTCTAGCAAAGTCGACTGTGTGGTTAACTTATCTTGTAAGGAATTGAATGAAAAACAATATTCTTTACTTAAAAAAGATTTTTAATTTGCATCAGGCCCCAAAACTATTTCTAAGATGGATAAAGTTGCTGAGGTTGAAAGCGCAATCTATCGACGTGACAACACCGAAAAGGCAAAGATTCGAACTAGCGTTGTGGATATCTTGAA